CACATGCCCCACAGCAAATACATGTGCGCGCACACACACACACACACACACACACACGTGTGCACACACACACCAAGTTATACTGAGAAGGAAAAAAATAGATTACAGACAAAAGTCCAGAGACATGTGCTCTCATTACATGTTCTAGTTTTACCAAGTAATAAAAAAAATTCATTCAACAAGTATTTATGGTTATCTTATATACACATGTACCATGCTTTTATTTTTATATATTTATATATACATATATAAATAAAATGAGCAGGAGTTGACAAACTTTGTCTTTAAAGTGTCTCCAATAGAATTTTTGGCTTTATGGACCACATGGTCTATATGACAATTATTCAGTCCTCCCACTATAATGCAAAAGCAGTCATAGAAAGTAAAAGAATAAGCAGGCCTGTGTTCCAATAAAACTGAATTTACAGAAAAACAGGTGCCACCTCTAATTTGGACTGCAGGTCATGGTTTGCTCATCTACTATGGAAGATAGAAAAATAAGTCAGACATGAGTCCTGCCCTCAGAGAGTGCACAACATGATGGAAGACACTGGATATTATCAAGAATCATCGATAGTAGGCAACTACTGAGTGTCGACAGAAAACATTAGGAGAGTTAAGAGAAGAGGTTAATTTCCTAGCTGAGGGAACTCACCATCTGGTAGAGGCAGCAGACACCTAGGCTTTGGAAACTAATGTAAATGTAGGCAGAACAGAAGAGCATCGCTGGAGGAGAAAGCACACAACTGGAAAGTCATGTCCAGAACTTCCCCCATGAGAAAATTCTACCACATCTCCTTACATTATTCATAACAAACGGATATGAACTGATAATTCAGATAATTCAGTTCATATCCGTTTGTTATGAATAATGTAAAACTAAAATTATTGCCAAAACAAAAGTGTAAAGTCTTTCTAATGGAATTTTTTAAAAGGAAAAGACACTTAAGAGTCTGACTTGCCACAAGAAGTGTTATATCCACTCAGCATGGTTAAGAGCTAAAACAGGGGCCAGCAGGTAGCACGGTGATTAAGATGCTAGAATCTCATGTGGCCGACTGCAGTTTGAGTCTCAGACCTGGTGGCTTGCTTTCTTGCCTTCCCTCTCTCTCTCTGGTCAAATTAAAATCAAACAAATAATTATTTTTTAAAGGCTAGAATAATTCTTATAAATTAAATACCAGATTATTACAGATTTGCATGTATGCATTATCGATTTTCAAAACACAGTTCGCTATAATTCTACCAAGTATATGAAAGCATCTTGGGCAGAATTTGGGGTAATTCAATCGCTGCACACCCATACACCTTTCATCTAGGTTTATCACCTCTACTAATCTTATCATTTTTTCTTACATTTATAAGTAGGTATCCTACTGCAAAGAAGAGCTCCCTTCTTCCTTCCTTATTTATCTGTATCAGTATGTCCTTATTTTTCTGTATCAGTACGAATTTAGGAATTTTTTGAGGTTTTTGCCATAGGGCATGTACGCTTGCCAAAGAGAGACAGAGAGAGAGACAGTGAGAGGGAAACTGAGAAATCACTCCTCGGGGGATGGTCACACTGCAAGCCTTTCTCCTCTATTCTCCTCCTGGGACTTTGAGCACACACGCACATGTGTCAGTGTAAATTTCAAGTCGCCAGGTCTGGAGCACAACCCGTGACTGGCCATGTGGGAGTCCAGCACCTTAACCACCACACCACCTGCTGGACCAAATTTTTTTTCTATTTTAGTATGCTATAATCTATTGTCTTTTGTTGTTGTTTAACTTGCCTGAGGGTACATGTCTAAGACAGAGAGACAAATAGAGAGAGGGAGAAAGTAGCCCTCAATAGGCCTGTTCACACTGCAATCCCCTCTCCTCCGCTTCTCTGTCCTGTCGGGATAAGAATGCACACGCACACCTGGCAAGCTTTCCAAGCCCCTGGGGCCAGGATTCAAACCGCAGGGTACATCACAAGGGATCGTTTCTTCAACCACTAGGCCACAGGGCCAGTCCTGTCATTATCTTTTTTTATACCGAAATTGTTCCAGATTTAGCCAGTGGAAATCCCTTCCAGCCCCATCCTGTGTCCTTTATCAATTCTCCATCCATCTTCGAGCAATCTTGTTTTCTGGTACGAGACCGAACCGTTCAATCACAAGCCACCTTGGACTGCTAGGAACGAACGATCCATACACCGAATCACCCATACACTGAAGCTTCTATGAATAAACAGAGGGATGAACAACCACAAACGCATCCTACCTAGACCAAGTCCTCGTGTTTTCTCAACCGAAAATCTATCGAATACAATGAAAAGTAAGATAGAGAATTTAATACAGTTAGGGTACTTTTCCAATCTCTGAAGAATGAAAATAGAAGTAAATAAAACAGAAACCTGAGACACACCTACCTAGGCGAGGTCTCGGTCGGAAGACCATTTCCAACCCTCTCACTTCCAGTGCGCAGTTGTCCTGCAGCAAGGAGCCCCAGGGCACCGACAGAGAGATGGACTGAATGAACCCTTCCGTGACTTCTAAAGGCGCATCTGCTGACTCCAGGATTTCATTGAGACACTAGGAAAAAAAATAAGTTCATTTTAAAATTGCACAAACTAGAGACCAGCAGGTAGCATGGTGGTTAAGGACGCTGGACTCCCAAATGGCTGACCATGGTTCAAGTCCTGGACCTGGCAGCTTGCCTTCTCACTTTCTCTCATGCGTATGTCAAATTTAAATAAATAAATAAAGTTAAATAAAATCTTTTTTAAAAATCGCACAAACTAGAACACAAAACTGTTTATGCAAGATGTCTAATATGTCCACACACGTGTCAGACACTGGGGGTCAAGAAAGCAGAGACCGACGGGAACCAGCAGTTAGCGTAATGGCTATGTCGCTGGACTCCCACGTAGTCGATCGCGGTTCGCATCCCGGACCCGGTGGCTTAAATCTCACGCCGGGCGCGTGTGCGTGCGTGCCCAAGATCCCGAGAGGAGAATGGAGAAGGGATTGCAGCGTGACCATCCCCCCTGGGGAGTGATTTCTCGCTTTCTGTCTCTATGTCTCTCTCTGTCTGTCTGGCGAGCACACGCGCCCTATAGTGAAAACCTCTCAAAAAAAAAAAAAAGAAAGCAGAGACCGAGAGAAAGGACTGCTGAACTGAACTCACGGGACAGTACGTTAGAGCATGAGGAGTTCATGACGAGGAGACACATCGTGCTAGTAAGAACACGATAGAATCTAGCCTGGAGGTTCATGGCAGGCCACATGAGGAAGGGCTGAGACTAGAAGGCAGAGGAGTTAACCAGGCAAAGTGCTCCTCGCAGAGGCAACAGCACAGGGCAGAATTCAGAGCGCAGAAGTCAGAGGAGGGCAAGCACACGGTGTATCTGAAACAGAGGAATACGATCATGTGCCGCATGATGCTCCTCCAGGCAGTGCTGGACTTCACGGATGGTGAGGATTCCATGATCTCATCCCATGTAACCTAGATGTGGAGTAGGCTAAACCCCAGGACTGTGTAAGTACAAGAGGACTTCTAAAAGTTCATGGAGAAATGCAATTAAAGTTTACGTTAAAAACAAAAAAGAACTTTAAAATCTATGCACAGGTTTTTCATAAGATGCATCATCTATGAACTTTTTGAAGACCCCCCCTCGTACACTGTATGGTATATGCATGACAACAAAACCACCTAATGATGCATTCCCAGGTCAGCCTTAAAAATACCTTGCAATGCTCATTTGAGTGTGCAATGTATCTCAAAGGCAACATAAGCCACTGAAGGGCTTTAAGCAAGGCCACTACGGTGAGATAGGAGCTTTTAATTGGTCCCTCTCACCTCCAGATAGACCATGAACCGGAGAAAAGCAAACCCAGGAAGGAAGATTCTTATGAGTAACAGAAGCTAGAGAAACCACTTGGCAAGAAGAGCAACAGAGGGCAGTTAAAAGTGGATAGAGTTTTGTAATATGCTTAATAAGTAGAAGACTTCATTGGCATCTTGGGAGGTAAAGAAAAGGAATTAAGAATGACACCCATAAATGGAGCCAGCAGGTGGCATGGTGATTTAGGCATTAGGTCCCAGATGGCCAACTCCACAATTTGAGTACTGGACCTAACAGCTTGAAAAGCACACCAGGGGTGGGTGTGTGTGTGTGTGTGTGTGTGTGAGTGTCCGTGCACATGTGCACCCTCATGCCCAAAATCCCAGTGAAAAGGAACTGTGGTGTGGCCATCCCCCAAAGAAGTGATTTACCACTCTCACTCTCTGCCTTTCTCTCTCCAATGAACCCATGTACCCTCAGACAAAAATGTAAAAAAAAAAAAAAAAAAAAAGAAAAGAAAAGAAAACAATGATGCCCACAGGCAAGCAGGTGGCATAGAGATTAAGGCAGCTGAATCCCACATGGCCGACTGCGTGGTTGGAGTCTTCCACCCAGTGGCTTGAAAAACATGCTTGACATGTGTACACCCAAAACCCCAAGAGAACAGAGGAAAAGGGGCGGTGGCATGGCTATCCTCTTTGGGAGGTGATTTCTCACTCCTTTCCTCTGCAAACCCCTGTCTCTCTCCAGCAAGTGCGATCACCTTAAAGCAAACTTAAATAAATAAATAAAGACACCCCTCATCTGGTTTGGGCAATTGCTTAGATACGGTGCCATTCACTTAGAGATAAACCTAGAGAAGCAGGCTAGGGGGTATATAGGAGTTCAGTTTCAAAGTGTGTATGTGAAGGGATATCTAGGTAGAGTGTCTAGGAGGAAACTGGGTATTCTGGTCCAGAGCTCTGGGAGCCATCAAGGTTAGAAATACAGGTAGGCATTCTAACTACAGAGGACAACTGAAGCCATGGAGGTCAGAAGAGGCCTTTGGGAACTTACATAAAGTGAAATGTTAGGAAGCCAAAGACAGACCCTTAAGAAATACCAGCATTACAGAAGCAGGTTAAGAAAGAGGAGCCTGCAAAGGAAAGTATAGAAAAAAGCACACAGAAAAGGTAGAAAGAAAAACCAAGAGAACTCATGTCCCAGATAATCACAGAAAGACAACGTGAATGAGTGGTCACATGCAGAAAAGTTAACAAAAAGTCAAAGATGTTTTAATGTCCACTAAATCCAGTGATGTTTAAACATCAGTGATTCCATTGAGCAATTTCAGTGGAGTGGTGAGACAAACCAGACTACAACAGAAAGAAGATAGATTGAATGTAGTTACCAAAATGATTAAATGCAATTTTTTTTTTACAGGCAACGTACTTTTTAAAGTAATATAACAAATATTTTTTTTCAATGCCAGCTTACATGTAAGATACTCCTGAATGCTGTGCCATTGGTAATGCTATAATTCTCTGTCTACACCCTAACACTGAACAGTGACATTTGGTTCAGTTCATGTTTTACCACTGGAGACTGGTACTTTCAAAACTACTTTCTTAGGGCTAGTTCCCTGGTCTAATGGTTAAGGGATCCCACATGGCTGACCTCAGTTCAAATCTTGGCCCCAGGAACTTGAAAAACATGCTGGGCATGTGCGCATGCATGCCCAAAATCCTAAGAGGATAGAGAAACGGAAGAGAAGTTGCAATGTGACCATGCCCTGGAGGGGGGGGGGGGCTTCTCTATCTCTTTTTTTCTCTCCTCTGGCAATTTAAAACAAAAGGCATTCTTAGAGCCGAGGTTTCCTGATCCTAAAGACTTTCCAAGGAGTACGTGGGCATGGATGCTGTAAAGGTATAAACCTTCAGATCCTCAACCTCCAAATATGTTCGTTCGTTTCTAAAACTATGACAAGGATGTACAGCGGCGGCGTCAAGTCAGGTCCTGTCCCAGAGTCCCTTGTACAGCCTTCCTTCTCCCCCTATCTTTCCCTCTTCCTGAATCGTCCCTTAAATACTGTCTGAGGTATAAAAACCTCCAGTCAGGACTAACAGTATATTTTCTGGTCTTTCCCTGTCTTATACATTTCCGGGGAAAATGACATTTGGAGAAATTCAAAGAACTAAGTAATACTGCCACTGCAAAAATTCATTAAGTTTCTTGGGGGCCAGCAGGTGGCGAGGTGGTTAAGGATACTGGACTCCCACATGGCCGACCACAGTTTAAGTCCCGGGCAATTTGCTTTCTCCCTTTTGCTTGCTCGCTCGCGCTCGCTCGCGCTCTCTCTCTCTTTCTCTCTCTCTCTCTCTATATATATATATACACACATATATATATATAGTTAAATAAAATAACTCTTTGAAAAAAAATCCATTAAGTCTCAGCTGCCTATCTATGACACTAGAATTTCTCACAATTACATCTTTACTTTTTTAATTTCCGAATAAAATTTATGGCCAAGTCTGACTAAGTTCTAGCTGTATATCCAGGTAGACTTATCTATGGATGTATGAACTAACTATGGAGAACGAGAAAACAATCCACCCACATAATACGAATTTATTTCCGGGCCAGCCACTGGGCCAGCCACTGGTAGTTAAGGCAAATGGATATGGCCAACTGCAGTTGAAGTCTCGGACCAGCAGCTTGAAAACACATCAGGAATGTGTGCGCCATTGCCAAAGCCTGAGAGCAGAATGAAGAGAAGGGCTGGCGTGACCATCCCCCCAGGGGTTGAATTCTCACTTTCCCTCTCTCAGTCTCTCTGGTGAACACATGTGCTCTATAGCAACTAAAAAAATAATAACGTTTTCATGTTTAATGATCAAAATGTATATTTAAATTGTTTTAATCAGCTGCACAATTTCAATAACTATAACAACATAATCCAGAGGAAAAATTTTAACTCTTAAAGTTATCATCCGAAGGAGCTGCAGATGGTACGTCCTAGAGCAACCACCAAGAAAATAAATTGAGGGACCAGCAGATGGAGAAATGGTTATGTCACTGGACTCCCACATAGTGGGCCACAGTTTAAGTCCCACACCTGGCAACTTAAACCTCACACTGGACATCTGTGTTTATGTGCCCAAAATCCCAGTAGGAGAAAGGAGGAGAAGGGATTGTGGCATGGCCATCCCCTGGGGGGTGATTTCTCACTCTCTGTTCAAGGGGCGGATGCACCCTATAGCAAAAATCTCTCTAAAAAAAAAAAAAAAAGAAAGAAAGAAAGAAAGAAAGAAAATTAAAATGAAGAAAATTAGTGAAGAAATCACTGACTAAATTGAAATTCTATACTAACAAATATTTACTTAATGCAAAATAAATTCTAGTGGTGGAACCAGCAGGTGGCATGGTAGTTAAGAGCACTGGACTCCCACATGGCCAACCACGGTTTCAATGCCCGACCTGGCAGCTTGCTTTCTCTTGCTCAATCTCACTCTACTTCTCTGGTCAAATTAAAATAAATAAATAAATAAATAAATAAATAAATAAATAAAATGTTTTTTTAAGATAAATAAAATCTACATTCAATCCCTAAAAAAAAATGTTTCAGGGAAAAAAATTGAAATGAATTAAAGATAGAAGGTACCAAAAACAAATCAGCTATAACATTCTATCTAGATGAATAATTTAAAATGTTAAAATTATTATCTCTTTTAGTACTTAAAACAATCACTATTCTACCCTGATAAA